ATATATATATCTTTGTGTAACTGTACTGTATACCTAAAAAGTACCAATAAACTTAATGAAAAAAGTCACAGTGTAAGATGTGTTGATGGAGAAAGATGAGTATAGATCTGAAATTTAAATAATAAAAAGTTGTGGGCATCAAAGAAATGCATTCTTAATACATGCCTGTTTCTTCAAGAGCAGCACAGTCAGCATTCACCTTCCCATAATAAGATTATTTGACATAAGATTTCTATGAGCAAAACTGACTTTAAGTAGCAAATATTTCCAGTAATCAAAACTTCTACAAACCTCAAAAGTTATAAAACCTATTACAATTTTATTTCATGTTTTCTAAGCTATTAAACCATTTTTAAATATCAGACAGTGAAGCTGATGTTACATTCACTGGAACTCGTGTTTTTAATATTTGATAGGTATGGAAACTTTTTTTTTACTTGCTTCTCAATTTTTAAGAGCAGAGCCAAGAATAGAGACATTTTAAATTCCAATGAAGACTGCACGTGATCTGATATAATTGGGTTTATTTAAAAAGGTAGAAAATCGCCCAGGACACAGAGGAGATAAGAAGTGTGAAGCATTTAGAACTGTTTTGCTTATTGAATTCCCAGGTCCACAAGATAAAAGGAAAGGGTGTTACCTGTGCACAAAATTAAGAGTATATTGAAGAAAATTATTTTTAAGAAAGATTTAGCCCCATTAGTAGGTAAAACTGGGCCTCAGTTCTCCATCTGCATCCCTGCTTAGATGAAGAACTTGTGACCACCTTAGGTCCTGTCACCTGAGTGAAGCTTCAAATGATTTGAGGCTTGGAGGAAAGTCGAATTGTATAGCCTGGATTTGGGAGATAGGGTGTATAAACATAAGGGCTCAGGTTATCTGCTTTTTGCTGAGGTAGTCCTCACAGCACAGGTAGACTGGGTACTGGGGCATTGCCTGTAGTCCCAGATCACACAGGCCACCCTGCGCAACGTAGACTCTGTCTCTTGAAAAAACAAACATACATACATACATACATACATACATACATACATACATACATAAAAGCAGAGTTAGGAACAAAGTAGGAAGAACTTGAAAAAAGAATATCAACTTAGGTATAAATATAACAAGATATGTACAAGATCTATCTGGGGAAGACTTACAAAACTGGTAAACAAAATCAATTTTTACTTGCACAAAAAGGAGTAAAGTATTATGGTTTCCACTGGATTGAGTTTGAAAATACATAGCCATATAACCTTGAACTCTATGAGGGCATACGCACGAAGGAAACTAACTTGAGAGTAATATCAACAGAAGAGAAATACTCTGTAGTGTTGTAAAAATCTTGAGATGTGATAATACAGAGGCCTGCAAATTGAGCTTTATTAGTACACTGTATTTTCCATTGTATGAGATAATAATTCTGTACTCATTCATCATTTGTTTACATCATTCTGAATTCTGGTGTTTCTGTGTTAGTCAGTCTCACATTACTATAACAAAATTCCTGACACAGGTTACTTTTGAAGAGAGATTTTGTTTTTATT